AAGTTTTTGGATAACTTGTGGGACAAATGTCAAGTAATGGTTTTACCGAAACGGCAACATTGAAATGATTGGTATCGTGGTATTTTGCTTCACTTCGATTTATTTGCCTTTGGCGCGACAACAAATCTTTAGACTATTTTTTTTTTTCTTTTTTTTATATATATATAATGGCATCATTGATTTATTCCAGACTACCGTTACATGCTTGAGATAGCTAGGCTGTTTTTATGGGAATGAAAATGTACACTCAACGTAAAAATAGAGCAAACATCGTTTCTTTTTTTTTGTTTGCTCGGAAAGTCCATATTGGATTTGTATTATAGATATATATGCATAGTACTAATTATAAAGCTATATATTTAATAAGCATAATATCGCGGGTGTGAGGACATATCGTTCCATATAAAAACGTATTGTATTGTATCCAGAGTCTGCAAAAGTTCAAGAAAAAATAGAGTGGTGTTTTATGCACATGTTGCCCCTGCCACGAAGAAAATATAGGGCTTTTTGCAAGCTCTGACATATGTACTTCAGCTGTGACAAGTTGGGTATTTTATGCGTGCTTGATTTTCACCAATTTCCTACTCAGTTGTGAGTACTACATAGCACAGAATGCGAGCTGTCTTTGTAAATGTAAGTCTCCAATTTAACCCACGTTATGCCCCTGTTTGGACGTACTGGTCTGGAAAAATGTTAGCCCCCTATAAAAAAAAATATCACCCGTAGATCGTCTATGCTTCCTATTCGAACACAAACCTCAGCTGTATTTAGCTCGTCTTAGTTCGAAACAAGAAACAATGGACCCGAATAGTTATGAAACACCCAATACTCTGAACATGGGCATTTACATAAAAATGGTGAAATGATGCTTGAAAGTTTCGACGACGTTGCTCCGAAGATATTTACCCTGTACGTTTGTTTCCAGTCGTCCCGTCCAATCAATCATCCCGTCAATCAGTCGTCCCGATCAATTGCAATAGGCTAACCTTATTCGTATTAAACGTATTCCAGTTCGTATTAAACGATCGAAAACAAAGCATATGCTCTATTATTTCTGGACTTATAGTAAAAACAGATCTGATCAACAACAGCACTACCTATGCGTGGCGTACACACGAACTCGGTACTTGATATCCATGTATAACTGTCCGACTATGATCGATACGTTTCTTCATGTATACAAAGGCGCTTTTCCATTAAAATTTAGATATTACAGACAGTTTAATGTATCGCATCTGTCCATTCTGAACTAGAAATAGATATGCGCAAGAGTTGTACTTGGATTGATAAAATTCAAAAGCTGCATTTGATTGATTTCTGACGATTGCCGACGCAAACCAAACGTAATTTTCTTCTTCTCAAATCTGTTGAGAGAAATGTTTGCCGTCGGGGATGAATGTCTGAAGCGACAAACGCCTGATAACTGTGAAAAAATTTACACCAAACCCTTCACCTAAATCACTGCTCTCTGATGTGGTCATGATCCGCCTATTCCGATTGAGTTGTTTGCCAATAGATCAGAATAACCAGGTGAATACTCAATGCTTCTCACAGACGAAGGGTCTGAACGGAAGCCCAGGATAGGCAATAGGGCCGGTTATACCTCGTTCATATAAAGTATCCCTTGTAGGCCTTAATGTAGGTCCTAAAACATGATTTCGAATGCCAGATGTCCTGAAGGACAATCTACGCACACAGATTTAGCTTGTGCGGAGCTGTATTAACTGGTACACTTCATTGAACAATCCGTTCTATAAGCAATACTTTTCCATACGTTGCCATTGTTTGATTCCGTGAACTATTCCGATATAACGTTATGCCTGCTCTGAGCAATGTTGTGCTAGAATATTTTAAGGGATACGTGCAGTCCATGCTAAATATTCAAACAAAGTAGTAGTAACTGACTCCTTATTATTTTGGGTCTAAATCAACGTTTTATACGACCATAAGACGCGTTAATCGCCTAAATATCTGTATCGGAAAAAAAAAAAAAGTTAGATATTTACTTGTGTTTTTCTGCATTTTGAAAGAGAATGTCTCCAACTGGCGTGGCATAAATTCAGCTCAGAGTTTCCCATTGCCAATATGTCAAGGCTCCATTAGACGATGGCGTTGAAAATATTTTCGAGAAGTATTAAATGTACAGAGTACGCTATTAGTGAGAATAAGCCTCTTGCCTCTTGACAACTCAGTACGTTGATTCTCAAACGTTTTTCTGACGCGTTACTGCACGAACGTTTGGAACGTATATATAGACAGAGTCTATATATACGTTCCAAACGAAAGAGATAACATTTCTTGAGGAACACGTTTCCAAACAGTTAATTACGTGAAATTTATATCACCAGCGGTTATATTGTATCTTCATCGAGAATCTTCTTATACTATATAAGTATTTGGGCTTGCGGCAGTGAAAGACCCCATAGAAGTAGCTCAAGTTCGCGAAGCAATCTCTGCCGCTCTTTGACATTATCTACTACCTACCTAATCTAAAGGAAGTTAATTTCATTTCGCAGGACTCACTCTAAGCATGGGACAGGCCAGTATCATAGTTGTCACTATCACGCTAATGTCAAAACAAGGGTGACATGGTCATCGCTATTAGCTTTATTCCAATATAATTACTAACAATTAATAACCATTACTATTTGTATTTACCGTTGCAAATCAGTTATTTGTTTTACATGTGAAACGCCATCTTAAATGGGCTGTTTATATCGTCTTTGGGTCATACTGTATAATATAAGTTAGTCATATTAAGAGAACTTGCCTTCGAACAAACTTAACACCGATAAGCGATTTCTGCAATTTACGAAAACAAATCGCTTCTCACTTATTTAGGACACGTATAGAACACCTATTTATATAGCGATGACGGTGTCTGCATTGATTTTTTCATAGACAGGTTCCGTAACCTCGGTTCCTCTATGGCGGAAAACTTTCCCGAATCTTTCCGTGTATGGCAAAATACTTGTTCAGGTGTTCGGCCCTTCACGAAACGTCGGACGGTATCACTCACTATGCCTTGTTGCTCAAAATGGCTTCAATGAAAAGGTGTTTCTTGGTGCGTGGTGATACTGTTTGATTCTTGTGGCGTTCGATACTCTTTGTTTGTTCTATACTGTCGCTATCGGTCTGATACCCTCTCTAAAGCGATGGAGGCTCTTCGCGAATGGGTGCAAAAAGGCTTCATGTGCTTCTCCGCAATATCAAATATGGAAACTTTTTCATACTTCGCCCCTTTTTAGTAAAAGCATCAGGCCTCAACGTCTTCCATTCCTGGTCGCACGCTGTTATGTTCTGCTAGGCGCGAAAGATAAAGGCGACGAGTATGGCCGTCAGTTAGAAGCAGAACATCAGGTCACATAGGATAGACTAAGGCTCAGCAAAAAGCTGATTTACCAATGAAACACAGGAGATGATACTAGGCTCCAACTCGAGGGTTTTCCTTCCGATGCGGCAGGGAACACCGCATACCGCTTCTAATGAATTCATTCGTGTATATGCTCCTAGATAATAAATGCTTCTAAGATGAATCAGGACCCAATTCGATCGTGAATTACTTAAAGGGTTGTGTACGAAGCTTTCCTTAGCTTTCTTCCTTACCGTCCTTGTTTCTACGCCATAGTTGTTTCGTACATCTGATAAAAGTTATAATGCCCATAAAAACTTAAACATTTACCAGTACCACAAAGATGTAAGTTCTTTTGAAATAACATTTTAAATAGTAAACAGAAAGTCTAAAATGTTTTAAATTGTATTGAGTTGCAGGAGGTCACATGTCTCATTGGCTAATGATGAACATTGTTTAGCGAAGAATTATGAAATAGCCTACTTTTTTTATCTAGTGTAAACATACCGTAGTGTCCTCTTCAGGAAACGTGCGTTACTCTTTAATACGTTTAGTAAATAAGAGATCTTCGCATGGTTGCATTGCTTTGTCTACACTTTACATACTATCCCTATAATGAATATGTGCAATCTCGCCTTTAGGTTGCGTAACTTTTCGAAAGTCCTACCTAAGATAGAGACAGATAGGTTAAAGACATAGCATGGTCCCTTGACTTAGCAGTACTCGTTGCCCGTCTTAGCCAGCCTAGATGAGAACAGATGGCTATCTCCTAATATCTAGATCGTCTACTCATTTGTCTGTCAATACGTTCTTTTAAACTTTTGGAACCACAAATAAAGGTATAGATCTTTGTACATTTTGTTTTGTCGTACTGAATTAGACCTTGATTTAGAAGAGCATAAACCTAATTTTGCTTAATTATGAAGAAGCCACGATAGTAATAACAACTATCGATCACCAAATGGTACGGAAGGTACAGGTTGGCGTTTGTGTTAAGACTTGATCTTTTTAAAGGTAAAGCTGTTTTGGCTAAATGGCATCCACTTAAAAAGTAGCGCCTATGAGCTCAGTTCTTGAGATATCTCTTAAGCTGGTTACGGAAGAGTTACGATCTGTTTTATGTCGCGCACCGCATTACACAGTTGCACCTCAGGCCCAGAACTGTGATTCTATATATGAATCCTGCGAGGTTTCCTGCACAAAATTCGACGCTTGCCTATTTTTACATAACCAGGGAATAAGGGCCTGTAATGAGAGTTCACGGCGTTTCATAGCCTATAGAAGGTGTAAAAAAAAAAAAAAAAAAAAGCGAGGTAAAGAATAGCAGGTCTTTTTTCGATAGTTCATTTTATAATAATAATGACTTTTTAGTTAATGCAACAATTGATTTATATATATATATATCTCGCTAGGATAATTAATTGTACTACATACATTTTACGCTAGTAGAATTTTAAGAAACGTGACATATTATACCTGCTTAGCGTTTATTGCATCCATTGTTTATAATAGTCTACAATGTATAGATTGCACTCTTAGTATCTACGTTGATTCTCGCCCATATTGTAGATCCCGTTCGATGAAGTGTATATTTTTTGCGCTCGTTGAAAATTTACCATGTGTAGTTTCCATCAGATATAATAGCATTTTAAACGACTACTTAGACGTTATACGCTCTAATAGTCAGGAACAAATGGTATTGGGTAGGTCTTTTACAAAATTCTTTGCCATGTTATAGTGAATTTCGGACCTTTAAACGTTTACTTTGTAATACGTTACGCGTAGGCGTACTCACGTGTGTAGCACTCACGTGTGGCGTTGTTGAAATTGGGGTGATCCAATAATGTACTCGCCACCAGTGCGTCTACCAGGACTTCTTTTTGTTACCCTTTCTCCGTTCCCTGCTGTCAGTTTGCTTGACTGCGTCGATGCATTGTCGTCGTATTTTTCCTTTTGACGCGGCAAGAGACGAACGGCCCATACACCAAACTGAAACAAATATCGCCAATGACCTGCCCGAAACAGGATCAAGCATTGCGCGATTGACCAGAAGGAATCATATACTCAGCAAACATCAACGCTGCTTTCGGATTGTCATATTGACATAATGGTGACAAAATTGAGTGTTAGAGTGCAAGGAACGCCCAGTATCTTGGCTTGTGATGGTCACAACAGGTAACGCACGAGGAAAGTCCACAGGGATTTGAAGTGAGAAGGTAGCTCTTCGTTTTGGACTGCCGTGTTTCCACTAAAAGCTCTAAAAACATAAACGCATACTAATGAAGTTTAGAACTTGATTTACTAATGTAATTTTGAACCAGCTCCGACCATAGCACTCACTGTTAGAAGGTGAACGACGTAAACAGCTTTTATTAAGGGCTTATTTTTTTTTTTCTGTTACAATACCTTATAAAGCTTCGGTTGACACACCCGGTCAACTCCAGAGTCGTCTTTAAAGGAATACAAAATGAAATACGTTTTTTAAACCAGCAGGACGTCATGGTAATGGCAATTTATATCCAGCGGGGTTCATCTGCTCGTAATGAAAAAAATAACATAAAAATAGAATGACAATAGTAATAATGACGACAACAATCATTTAATTACAGTGCTCTCGTTTAAAAACTATTCATCAACACACTTAAAAATAAGTCAGCAGTACATGTTTTTGCTGATGTGGGGACCGTATAACAAAGTTAAGAGGAGGGGGTGACGGGAGTTTTCTTCGTGGTGTAAAGTACTACCACATGTAGTTTTTTAGCATGAGAGTGTATATACAATATAATGATACCTTTTCAGTTGAGCTCCTTGGCTAAGCTGTCTAGTGAATGTATTATATATGAAAATATTAAATAATCGGCTTGTATTCAATCGCGCCTACTTTAAGTGTCTTACGTCATTGATTCCTCATTAACTTATGCTCAGTACATATGAACAAGTTCTCGTGAAAGGATTGAGATCCACATTTTTGACACCATATCCTTTCTGTTGATCGCTAGCGTTGTCCGACTTAAAATGTTCTACGATTCAGTGCTTGAGTATTTGACTCTTAGCTTGTAAGGCACACGTGCTTGCATACTAAACTTGATGGAAGTTTAATAACTTTGTCAATCAATCAATCAATTCTCTGTGTAGATACAAACAAAATGTTTATATTGCAAGGATTATAGGCATATCTCGCATGTTGGTTTTGTAGGGTGAGCTCAACAGACGAGTTCTTTGTTACTCATTAGCATTTTAAAAGATCTACAGAGAGAGAGAGAGAGAGGGAGAGAGAGAGAGAGAGAGGAGAGGAGAGAGCAGGGACGAAAGGTCCAGGGCTGTCTGGCTGTTGCAGATAAAATCAGTTTGGACTGGGAAACCCAGCGATTCTATGACATTCTTTCTAGCTACCATGTGTACAGGTGTATTACCTGGGTTTGGAAAATTTATCAATATTCTGATTACTTTTATGCGTTTTCTTTTATCTGTACCTGTAAGGACCTATATAGTGTGTATGTTTTGTGTGGCAATATTTATTAATTATTCTTTGAAAAAGGGAAAGCTTTGTTTCGCCTACTGAGCTCTTTCCCGGAAAATCTTAGACAACATCGGCGACAGTTTGTCAAGCGAGCCCCTTATTAATTCGTTACTGTCGACCGAAATTTTTAATCAGGCATTCCCAACGTAGTCAGGCTTAATTAAAGGATACTAAATGTACTGCATTTGTCGATTAAAACGTTATCCACTGTTGTCGTTCAGTTGAAAAATGTTGATTTTGCAGCTGGTTGTGCTTGCCGCCATTCCGTCAAAGAAGCACCGGGACGCCATTCCGATTTCGACCACATCTGACGTCGCTTACGGGTCCAACGTTACTGTTGTTATTGGCGTATGTGGAAATCTATTTATTTTGACACTCATTATCAGGTTTGTACGTTGGCATTTCTAGCGAACATAGGACAACAATTGTACAGTCGCCTAATTTACACTATTTAGTCCTATGTGGATTTTACCCTATTGATGCGTAGTGCTGATAATTATACTGCTAAGTAAATTTGGTCAAGTAGTTAAACCTATAATGGGGCACTATTTGATGCTTTCCTTTATCAAAAGAGAAGACTCAGAACGACATGTATTACAGTGAGTAATTTTTCCCAAATGGCAAAACGAAATTTCTTAGATTTTTTCATATCTGCTACTACTTTTCTCTAGCTACATCTAACTGTGATTTCCACCTTTCCGGCAGCCAACAAATGGAACCTAAAAATGTACGAGGTAGCGAGTAAACATAGCACTGCTGAACTATGAAGGGTCATCTCTGTGCCTATGAAGCGTGATTAAATGGAACATTAAAAGTCGTTAATTGTAAAAGAGACCTATTTGTTTTACTCGTAACGAAAGAGTTATAACGGTGATCACCACTATCTGCCATCGAAGTTATTTCATTGTTAGCTGATGGTAACTGGCATTATGAATTTTAGCAATAACGAGGAACAGACCCCGATCTATTACCTGTAAGTTACAATAAGTATTTCGCAAAAAAGCTCGTCACTTTTAAACTTTTACAACCATATATTACTCTGCTAATTCAGAGGTTTTACTTAAAGCCCGGTAGCTTATTGCCGCCCGAAAGTGGACGCAGACCAAAGAATCCGGGGACTATTTTGATTTCTATAGGACTGAGGTAAGAGCACTACAGGTTAGAAAGAAACCTTGAGTTATAGCTTAGCTGACGTCGGTATCTCTATAGGCAGATATTGGCATGGCAGGGCAAGAGGTGAAACTCGCGCGTACTCTATTGGTACTGCGACAACTTCTGCATTCTAGCCGGAAGAACATGCAAAACATAGTATAATCAATAACTGTCAAAAGAAGTACCCTTGTTATTTTGCAAAGATACTGAAAGTGATCGATAACTTGAAGAGAATGTAGCAAAATGCTTCTCTAAAAAAAACGATTTCATTAATTAAACTTGCAAAAGGTATTATAAAAAGGAAACTAGTGGAAAGTTTCTTAGCATCTAGTGAGGTTGTATTGAGGAAAAACTATAGCCTTATAAAACCTAACTAAGACTGCTTTTGTCACTCGATCGAATCATTCATATAAACGAGTAGTTTAAAAGTTATCTGATATAATGTATCTGATATAATAAGGTATAATGATGCGGTAATAATATATGTGTTACATTTGTAGTAAGTAAGTGAATCTTAAGGTACAGAGGAATTACTACGACTACTATATATATATATAAATAAGTGGATTTTTCGTTTATGTTGAATGCACTATACACGTAACTAAAAAGAAGCAGACATATAGTTATATTACAAGGTTTTTCAGTTATCTTCTCGTTACCCTCTGGTAGTTTCTGGTAGTGGTGATCTCTGGTAGTTTCGAGTAGGATTGAGAAGCACACCATCGAAATGTTTACCACATATACAAGTATACAATTAAAATATTATGTTTCTGCCTCATAACTTGTTCAAAGTTTTAATGAAATGTAACTTTTTGCTCTAGATGATTAGCTTAACAACCATCGTGTCAGCTTAATGCCTGTAGTACGTCATGTAAGTCATATCAATTAATATTTACTTTATATTTGAGACTAAATTTGCTGCTTTGTTTCATAGAAACTATCAGGAAAAGGAAGATCCACCATCTTCGATCATACATCGCGTATTGGGGATTTTATCATACCTCCACTTCAATTTCGAAGAACATTCAACCAACTTTAAGGTTAATAACCTTCATTCATATCTTTTCTAATTAAACATTCTTTTAATTTATAATTATATATTTAGATTTAGATAAAATCTAGATGAACCGGCTGTTCAATATATTTAAAACTGAATGTATTTCAATAACGAGGTCAAAACACTCGTTCTACACGCATACACTTGTAATAACTTTTTGTCATATCTACCTTGTTTCGCTCCGAAATAATAAATATCAGTTATTCTCCTTCGTTGCCCTCGTGCATCGGGAATGTTTGCAAACTGTTATTCCTTTGGCGTGAAGACGTAACGAATTCTACCTGTTAGTCGTGTTATCGAAATCAACCATTTTGAGACTCATAGTAACCCTATTCTTTTTCGCTGGGCCAACCTGCGTCCCAGGGGCGCTTTCTTTTTTATTTTGATCTAATCTTGCACCGCCATAAACTTGTTCCTCATTCTCCTTGTTTGCCCTTAATTATACCTGCGACCAATACTGCCATGCTCTCCTATATCATCTTGACAGTATCCAATCCTTTTCAAGCGCCCCAAATATGGGATTATAAAAGGAGGGATGTATCGCCTTTGTGCATCACACCTCGCACATCAGTCTCCGTTACCTTTCTTTATTGTCAGCAGATAACTTGCGGGCATCCCTAAGAGTCCTCTGGTATAATGTTGCATAACTATTATCACACTTTCCTAGTTGGTTCTTTTGCCACTTATATTTCCTTTTTACTGAATATCAGCGGTGCAGAGTTATCTACGCCTTTTTTGCAGATTATCAGTACGACGACTGGGCGATCCGCGTGCGCTATTGTTTGCACGCCTCCAGCTCTCAAAACTTCGAAACGTTATTATAGGAATGACAAACCGTCGATTTCTCGGGCGCTCTGGCGATCATGTTGACTTCCATCTTACTATATATAACAGCTCTATCATTGAATTAGAAGGTTAGTCTTTTGTTCATTGTGCTTTTAAGAATCGATTTTCCCTGGTGGCCAGATTGGACGGTATGGAAGGTTTGCTCGACTTTCCAGTGAGAGCCAATATGGGCCATTATCAATCCACAAGGTGTCTTTACTCACGCGATAACTTGTTTATGGTTTACCTAAAGACGTTTGACTTTCCTAGACTGCTTCGCCTAAACTTCGCCCGCCAATATGGCCGTCGACGAGCATTTCACGCCGCGAGGGCGTCTGTTGGATTTTCTGTGTCGGTTTGTTGCGGCCGGTTTGCAAGTCTTTTTAAGCACGACGACACGTATAATTACAACATATGGTCAAGCGCAGCTTTGAATGGTATCAAGATATCTCTGCTTTCCAGATTTTCTTTATGCTCTAGGCATATCTCCGTCATTTCTTTCGGCGCGCTATAGGGCTTAGCTGGTGCCTTGCCTCTCATACTCGATATTCCCATACCCTGTCTCCAGTGTACATGGGGTGGCTGTGTGATGCTTCTTTGACAAGCTTTCAATTCGGAGCCTCTTCCTTTGTGTCATCATCTCCAAATGGTGGAAAGCTGGCGACCTATTTCGAACGTAACTGAAGGGTTGTTATTAAAATAGGTTGTGACTGCCCGGCTGCTAGTTCGGCTATATTTACCTTCTTCGACCACCCTCGACCGTCTTAACAGTTGTTTCTCTCACGTTGAAATCTCGAACCACCAGCACCATTTTGTTGCATCCCTTGCATCTTCCTACTTTTCCATTAAAGGCTGTAAAAACATTATTACACTTTAGTATCTTAGTGTTTGGCGATGTGGAACACTATAGGTTTATATTCGGGTTCTACGTAGACCCACCTCCCGGCAAGACGTTATTCTTTTACCATTAGGCTTGGCATGGCCCAAAGCACTGCGTCACCCTTTTTGTCATTTAAACAGTCTTAATTTTGCTTGAGGTTCAGTGCCTTGCGGTGAGATTCGTGGATAGCTAATATCTTTTGCCTCTTTTTCTGTGCTTTAGCTGCAGTGTTTCGTTAGCGTGCTGCTATTGGTGCATGGAAGTTTGTACCAGCTTGCATTTTTTGCACCGAAAGATATTTTTAAGATGTTTGTTGCTCTTAATTATTATTGCTGCTCTTGTCTCTTTTAGTTTTCTTATACTCGCTATCACTCCTTTGTCGTTTGTTTCTCGACGCTCGTGCGTCGTCACCTGCTTTGGCCTGTGGCGGCTTGTTTCTATCCCTTTTCCTTGTTGCTCGCCGGTAGATAATCTCGGTTTGCTCCACCATGGCAGAAGTTTTTCTCTTGCTGGATTTTTTTATCTCCCATCTGTAGTGTTCTATACAATGGGTTCGGCAGGATTAGCAGGGTGATTTGGTTCCCGTCTTCGGACCCCTACTAGTTATAGCACTTCGCTTTTCTAGTATATATACATCGGTGCATCACCCGTATAGGGTGTTATCTAGCGTAATGATTTTATTGGGCGCAGATGACAGCGCAATGGGGACTTGTTGGCCCACATTGCGTTTTGCTACGCTTGATTATTGTTCGTAGTTTTTTTTATCTTTGATGATTCTGATTAATATTCATTTGATATGATTTTACACTGTAGGCCTTTTGCCCTTCCATTACGACTAATCTTTTTTGAAAAAGCAAAGTAAGGTCCACTCAGTCGTCTTTTTTTGTTGTTTTTGTAGTGAAATCGGCGTCAACTCTGGCCGTTGTATGCGCAAGGTAGTCCTTTTTCTCGCCCCTTTCTGTTTTCTATTCTCCGGCTCTGCTCCGGAGTATGGCAAGCAAAGATTCATTCTTTCTTATTTTTCCTCTTTTTAGACGTGGCTAGAATTCCATAACGGGTTTGGCTGCGTTTTTTGCTACCCGATCTTGCCGATAATTAGCATGTCGTCTACCTATGTGGGATTTTTCGCGGTTGACTGTGGATCAGCTAGGTAAATTTATACAGCCAGCCTTGGCCCACCGCTACCTCCTCGAGCTGACTTGTATTATAAGAATAATAATAACTATATGGCTTGCCGATATTGCTGCTAGTAAGCAGGAGTCATTATGCCGATGTAAAAACACTTCAGATCCTCGAAGCAACCGCAGATGAATTTCTACAAGCCTATCGCCTGTAAGTATCGGCCGCCAAGTGTTGGGTTTCGTCTGGAACACGACCGGGAAGATCGGCCTCTCGTCGTTAGACTGATTGTCACTAAGGATATTGCTCGTTCGAAGGCAAGTGTTTACCTATCTTACCTTAGCCTCTAAACTTCATTTTATCTTTTTCATCCATAAAGAAAGCATTGATTATACAAATATTTTACGTGTTGGCTGCGTATTTTTAGGCTACCGCAATGCCGTATCGGAGCTGTATCACGATCATCTGCTTGTGCCAATAGCGGCAGTAACAAGACTGTCCAAATTCAATCTAATTGTTTTCAAATATATATTTTTGTTGGTTACTTATTCATGTCAGTACGAGAAAAAAGAATAAGGAACGAATATTGATTTATTGTTTCGCAAGTTTAATACCTTTCAATTTGCTAAAATTGCATCCTCAAGAATCAACCTCAAGTTTATTTACATAAGCATTAGAATGTGTAATACGTGAAACACAAAACTACCCCATAAGTTACCATTTCGTGCTGTTTGTTGAATAATAGAGAAGAAACAGCGGACATTTTTGTTTCTACCACCTCGGTGCACGACGCTTCACGCATATTGGGTATTCCGATACCCAGAGGGCTCAGCTTCCTCTGTAAATGACTTAGCTCAACAAACTATTTAATAAACCTGTCCGATTATGCCCCAGTGCTAAACATCTGAAAAGATAAAATGTTAAAGGCTTTTTTCAAACTTTACTAGAGCTTGATTTTTTAATATAAATGTTGAACGAGTTCGCTTTTGACAAAATCATGCCATTCCATGAATATTATGTCAGTCATGACGTCCTGATGACATAATATGACCTCCTGAAGGTCAAATGATTTAATAGGAACGATTAGAAAAGGACTACTGCAATCAAGACAACAATTTTATTTCGTTCATCAATGAATAGCATCGTTTGTCAACTCGTCAAGCCAAGCGATCCCTTACCAACGATTACAGTCGTAAACAAGGAGACCCGTTCATTAACCCAATTGCAAATAACGTCCAAGATCCGTTTGCTTTACTGTGTTGGGCTGTTACCCGATAATCGTGAAGGTACTTGAAGGAAATAGTGGTACCATTGTGGTGCCTGTTGTTTCAGCCTTAATTTGAAAAATAGTGCGAAATGAATTAGGTAGAGAAAATGAGCAATTTTGAAATGATTATATCGGTCTCCTCGAACGGCTTTAAGGCGCGGGGATTCGTATTCTGACTTCTAGAAGCGAACACAGCATCGCAATCGGAATACACAGAAATAGAATTTGTCTGCTCTATCCTTTTTCGAAGTCTTCCTGAAGTCGAAACATGCGCTCTGTATCATTTCGGGTAAGATACGCATTTTATCATATTTTTATAAATAGAATGATATTTTTACCGATAATAAACGAGTTAGTTGTGTGTGTGTGTGTGTGTGTATGTTTTGACTGATAAGGTAACCGTCAAATACTTAGCTTTATCTTTGTACAGACCCTTCGTAAAACAAGTTCGTGCCGATCGACTGCAGCCGTTCTTTCCGAATAACAGTGACTAAAATCAATTAGTGTACCGTCCGTGTTCTAACTCCAGTAACCACGATTTGCATCTACTGGAAATATTTCGGGCTCCGTAATGATTGAAGCTTCTCCCGTACTCGTCCTAAGCTTCTATTTAACTATCAAACACCTTTGTTAGCTTGTGTCGGCAGCGAAATCATTAAAGAAAATTTAAATTTTCAACCGCATATATCAAGTCGCGGATGTCCTTCAAATTTTTATTGAATGAAATAAATACTTGGCATCACCTGTTGTAAAGGTGTGTAGGTAGATGAAACATAATGAAGCAATGTCTCTTGACGACTATTTCTATTTATAGCCGCTAGGTGGAGTAGAGGAACGAATCAAACGATTGGAACTTTCACGTTCTGATCCCTCGACCAAGGATCTCTCGAACCTACAGTTGATTGTGAGCCTCTATAATCCGAAGAAGCGTCTAGCCAAATGTCAGATTGGCCCAAGAGGTTCTGTGGCCGGGATGCTCAATGCAGGATAGCACTCAATGGGCAGCGTGTAGTAAAGCTCAAAGAAACAGTGTCCAATAGGACCTCAGAAAAAATCTAAATGTTTCCTTGGCAAGCCATTCAGGTAGAGAATGAAGAAGCTGTGTGAAAGCTCGGCGAGAGACAATCTTTAAGAAATTTATTTTGCCAACACAATCTAGTTTGTGTGGGCAACGATTGGCCATGAAAAAAAGCATAAACGAACGAGTCAATCCGATGAATGCACGTAAAGTAGGCTTCAGATAAAGTGACTAGCTAACAAAGGTGCACAAATACGTAACAAAGTAATGTCATTCACTCCGAGTGATACTTGACCACACCCTAGAAAAGTATTTAGGTGACCAAAAAGTCATTTCGTAGCTTTCTATTTTTGTTATCGTACTTTTCCACCATACTCTTCACATGTACGATCTTCTCATTTATTTTTAAGCAGAAGCCATAGTCGGCTTGTGTGGGAAAGTGTATCTAGTTTAGCTTCATCGGCGGCTAGTGGAAATGAATAGTCCACAGCCATCCTACGCGTACGTAGACGTGCATTGATTCATATATTTAAATTATCATGCTAGATTTAGAACTCGGCCTGGCTTATCTGGCAAAGCGTAGATACATACCGCGGCCAGTGTCCCCTAGCGCCCAGTAGGCCCCATCTAGCTCTGCGGACCTATGCAATCTTCTCCGTTTCGAAAACAAACTCATGGATCAGCGAAGTTTCGGTTTTCGATGAGATTTAGATAGTTCTCAGAAACAGGCACACAACTAATTCTTCCGTCATCTGGACGTGTAACCGGGTGATGCGAAATAACGAAGACCTCGAATATCTTTGTCCGGAATGGTCACGTCATGAAGTAATTTCAAAGTTGTTGTTGTTATTAAGAACTTCTTTGCGGAAAGCATTTCTTAACGCCATTTTACACTAAAATCAAAAACAGGTCACTTGGTAAGCTAATAGTTGCTCGTAAAAATTAATATTTTTCTCGACTAACATTTGGTATTTTTGGTTTATGTTTGACCATAATTAAAAAGACGGACTTTTCATGATTAACAGAAATAATAACAATATATATATATATATATAGAAATATTTACCTATTATGGTTAGCTTGGAATTGCTGTGAGGCGAGTTTTTCAGGATTTCACCTTTTGGCCATGAGTTGCAGGTTAAATAACTAGACTAATCGGCTAGCTAACTGCAATGATTTCCTGAAAATGGTGCAAAAAGCTACACTCCCTGGGATTTTGAATTATCTAATAATATGAATAGTTTTATATGTAAACAATGGCCTAGAATCATATTCGAAACAGAAATGTTTCATTTTACAATAGAAAAAAAAAAACTATTTTGTTTAATTTAGAAGGCTTTACGGACATGTCCGTTTGACTTCAAATAGATGAAACAGGCAAACCTTTAGATGAATAGTATTATTCGTTATCGGACTGTAAAAAAGGAACATAAATTAGTTGCTCTCATCTTGTTTGCAATGATACTACAAAGGAAGCGATGAAGGGCAATGGCGGATGAACGTGCAATGAATGCCAAATGGCAAAAAATAGACGTCTCTGAATGGACTCTGGTATTTGATTTACTAACGTTGTTCCGCTCGTAACGGCGCTCCACCATGTGACGTCGTTGCCACGGGGTCGAGGCATACGCTGATACGAGGCATGGTTAAAGCGTAAATTAGAAGAGTGAATCAATGGTAATTGTCATTGTTGTCGATGAAACATAAGCTGTAAATGTAAGATCCCTTCATAAATCTTCGTAATAATAAATCCCGCATATGCCATTAGGGGTGTGGAGGGTTGGCGAACGGAAATCAAGAGACCATTTTAATGCTTGCCAAATAAGGGCTGTAATTGAAACGTGTAAAAAAAACTGGAAAATAGCTGGACAAAATGTGGTCGGATCTTGAGCGAAATAGAGTATAGACACCCGTAGCAGAACTTATTTATTTTTTTCTATACACAAATTGCCTTCAATTTATAATCTCTCATCGGGCGACAATTAAAACGCGCGGGAAACCATAACTGCTGTAGTATTGTTGGCGGAACAAGTGGCTCGTGTCGTACGGGGCAGCCTACTGAATAGGGAGAAGCACAATGAACCGCTGACACTGAAAGGAACCATCTAGCGTTAACAGCATTTTGTTTTTGCAATGGAATTATGAGCTGGCGAAGAGTACATCGAACCGAGCACCGCAAGATGTAATAACAATGTCTGTACCTAGAAATAGGCATAAGGCCTTGAAGAGGAGACATAGCCTAGAAAAAAAGTACATGGAGGGACGATAGTATACAGAGGTACAAAACGAAACAGATTAGGTTGTGTATCGTAGGACTCTATCGTAGGGCAAAAAAACGAAAGCAATATTAATAAGAACATAAACGGTGATAGGTAACTGAATAGTTGCTATACAAAAAAAAATAGCAGATGAGGCAAATATCTGTGGATCTATTTAGAACTTCGAGTGTAAAAAACGTTCGACTTTTCAATTAACAGTATGTTGATCTCTGCTGTCATCTCGTAAGTTTTTCTAAAGTAGAGGTCAATAGACCTTAACACAGCTGAGTGTTTTTGTTAACAGTAGACTCGTTACGAACTTCTCTATTTACTTATCGATTTTCTGTTTATTCTTGAGCATACTTCGATACATAAACATGACCAGGACTTCGATACTGCAATGAGCATTTTTGTCAGGTCCCTCTCTATATGTCGTCGTGTTCACAATTCATTCGTACATTAGAGCAATGGCAATACTCGTACATATCTCTTACTTGTGCTTCCTTTCTATCATCCTTTTTGTACTATAACCTTAATGTTGTACTTTCATTGATACAGATATTACCAGCCCATGATCTGCATAAATACTCACTTTGTACGATTCGTATTGGGTCGTTGAACCTACATTCACACTCAATGGACACCGTTTGAAACTTGATTAATCGCTATATACAAATCACCTAGATGTCTAAACCTGAGGTACATGCGTTTGACCATAAAGGCTTTTCGGTATCTCTTGGCACCTTTACGCAGTTTCCTCTATAATTTCGCCCCGTTTTATACGTCGACTAGTGCATCACGTACACTTCGCCCTAGGACCCCATGAATCTAATTATTTATCGTCTATAGCGAGGCTCTTTCTGAGGTGCAGTAGTGTGTCCCATTAAGATCGATAACTACACAGAAGTTTCGATTCTAATATTTGAATTAAATTGACATTGAAGATTCACTCATTTACATACAGTTGAAACATGTTGCCGGTGAACATGCTTCGCCTAAAATTCGATGTTTTTGGGTTTTTCGACCCAATCTCGGTAAATTCCAGCTGCGCAATTTTCGTAGAGCTTTCCATAGTTATACATACAAAAAAAAATTGCAAATCTTGTATGAGAACAAGCAAATAGTCCTTTTATAGTATAAATCAAATTACGTACTCAAAAAGAGACATTTGTTCATTGATGCATAACATTAGCAAAGCAAGTTCCGAAAACATCCAGCAACAATGCACACAATGTAGTATTGCGCTGCTTAAAAGTAGTTAAAGTTTCGCGTTATCAAACGCCATGTTTACTTTCCCATTATCAGGCCGGCGATCAGATCGGTTCCCTCCACGCATCGTATTGCTCTTATTGTTATTCTTAGGGGCAGCAAGCATGGCGTCAATATGGTTCTCGATGTAAACGGAATTGCCCTTGAAACGGCTACTTCCGTTGAAGTTGCCACTGGAGGTTGTTGCTATAGCAGCGTTACGCTTAGCACTCAGATGATGACCGAGCGGGTCGCAGCAGTCGTGGTAGGCCTTCGTTATGAGACGGTCGAGTGCAAGGAAAGGTGACTCAAGTGTGACGGTCAGGACGAGTGATAGCGAGTACGATGTGAACAAATGACCGAGATAAAGATAGCCCTGCAATGGAGCAATACGCATATTAGCTGCTTTGCGTCTGACTTATGTACCGTTTTGGTTTATTAGTTAAATTCTTACTAACGGAGTGGCTTGTACCCCCTGGCCATAGCTATGATTTGGAAGAAATCATTTACAACAACAATATTTATTTGCAATATAGTTCACTAAAGAATTGCCAAAAGTCCTATGACTGACAATTCCAAATGGGTGTACTTACTGTGAAGGGCACAGTTATGTAGTACGGTTCGCGGAGATAGGCCGTATGTGCAAGAATAATAAGCGGGTGAACCAAGTACACGAGGAAGGTCAACCGTGAGAGGGGAATCCAGGCTCGGAATGACAAAATCCTGTTGACAAGGCCCCCATTGCCAGTCGCGCAGGCGTACACCGTCCAGGCAACACACAGTGACCACCAAAAACGAAACAGTGCCCCGTAGAGGATTCCCATGACCATTGAGGGTCGATCATAAGCGTTCCAGTTACGTACTCCGAACACGATTGCCAATTGAACTCCCCACACAATGATCCACGCGGGGATACGCACCAGCTTTAGACAATTGATGTAATAATACTTAGTCAAATCGCACAGCGGCAACGGGATTTCGTATGATGCATTGCACAGTGTACCTCGGTACACTCTGCCGTTAACATCCACCAAGGATAATAATTAAGTTATCTGTTTTTACTATATAGCGAAAACTTTGTGTACTTTAATGTGCTTAAGGTATGGACACTGTATATTCGAAAATATGTCAGTCTTCTACAGTCGTCATTAATAAATGCACACTATTTATGATGATTTCTTTTTAAAACTCCTTATGCTCGGCTATCAATGGCCACTCATGCAAACAGCACACCCTTGCATTCAACGTGTACATACTTTGTTAATGTGCTTCCTTCTTTGCCTGAACAGCAGATAGCCCAAAGCCATTCCAATCGCAAACGGGGCGAGATGTGCAAATGGTTTGTAGCCGATAATATTCATGTACTCGTTGAAATGTGCCGGCTCCAGGTCAATGAACAGCGGTATTGGGGGAAGATCGTGGACAAACAACAAAACACCAACAGCTGTCACTGAGATGAATATAAGAGCAAACAAGATCAACAAGCCCATAAAGGGTCGCCTAGAAAACAATAAATAAGCAATGTTTTGTGTGAGTGTGCAGACATCGAACACACGTGGGTCTCTATCCAGATTGATATGTCAGCTAGCAGGGTCTGAATATGCAATTTGTGCTGTTGAAACTTCGAGTACTAGGTCTCGACGTCAACACATAATACGTATAGTCGACACATAATGCGGATATCGTGTAAATAATATTCTATCTAAAGAGTGGAACGATAAAGCTTCACGGTTGACCCTCGAAACAACCTCGTATTAAAATCCACTGCAGGACAATAAATCAACCGGTAAATTAGCAATTTTCTATAAACAACGAAAATAAGAAGAGCTTCACTGCCTTCGTCCTATTTTTCGTCTTTTTTTACTTTGTTCTTTATTAATGCCTTTCTACGTTGAATAGCATTATAGTCAAACACGAGTTTCCACATTTTATTCTACCTGCACAATATAAGGCCCTTTCTTTAGCGAAACCTTCTATTTTAAATGGGAACATCTGCATGGACAATATTATTATTATTGTTATTGTTATTTTGGTTACTGAAATTACACAGGACGGCCCGATAGATCACATTGGGTATTAATTAGAAGATCTGTAAATTGACCCGAATGAAATAGCAGGGACTCTAATTGTGAACCTTGGAGTTACAAAATTAATGTATTACTTAGAGATTTAATAATTGAGAACAGATATACAAGGTAATCGGAACATAAATTCCTTTAGATCTCGGTTTTGATCACCGTTGGGAAACGTGTATGTTGGGCCGAAGCGGGAACGTCTCCCTTACCTCGCACGCGACCCATATAAATGAAGAATACGCATGTGCATGCAGTAGTTAGTGCCCTCAATTTGCATTAAAATTGAAACATGCGCATTTTATATCAAATTAACTAACTCACTTACTTACTTTTAAAACTAAATTAAATAAAATAGGTTTAAGATGCTAAGTAAATTATTTCAAGTTTTACGCCCGGCATTGCCGTTAGGCATAGTTCCATCAGACGCAGGGCTGCCCTTAACCATCGCGAAACGAAATTTATCCACTGAAACTACACCACAACGGGTTGCTAAGGTTAGCCACTAAGCTACACAAGGTAACCTAAAGTAGTTTAGTGGTAGAAAGTTCCAGTTAAAATCAATACACTTGCCAGAAGTAATTAACTTACTTGAATAGAACGTACGAGACGAGTGGCATTATTAGGAAATAGTGGAAGTCGGATGAGAGGTACCATCCGTGTGGGAGACACTGCAGCGAAAAACAAAGAGGCATTGTTCTGTGAAAAAATCTGTAATTTTTTATTTTTCTGAGTAGTTCTTTATAATAAATTCTGTATTTAGTACATAAAGTTTAGTTAATCATGCTGGTTATGATGCATCATACCCAAATATAGTTTATTCTTACGGGCCGGGATAAAGGTTTGAAATTATGCCACGATTATTTGCAGAAAGATATCATCTGGTGGCATATGTGTCCTTAAGGCTAACGGAGCTCTCAGTGAACTCCGGTGACTCACCAGTTACGAACGAAAAAAAAACTGACTTGGGTTGTCAGAGAGTTCTTGAGTGCTATATGCTGCTATTTATGACGAAGTATTTCTGTGTAGTTAACAGTTACTTAAAAATGTCGAGGCAAGGTCCGGTGCTGGAAAACGACTGTTATGGGTGATCTCATCTGCAGTTTATAGAAGTTCGGGACTAGAGTAGAGGTGGAGCTTTGTCGATCTATTTGAAAAGTTAAACGTATAGCTTAGGTCGTGCTTCGTTAAGTGGGCTAGATCGGTGTGGTTAACTGAATGAATCTATTTATTGTATCTAAGTAAATAATAATAAGTCTAAAATGACGTGGCACAAACGCTATTCGTTCTTTGGCGCCAAAAAAAAAACGTTAAGTACCTTACCTCTAAGAGACCCTGCGAAATAAAGGTTAAAAGTAAAAATCCTAAAATAAAGCTGACCATATTCTCGCGTTTAACGTATGCCCCGATGTAGAGTGGATTCGTCCACCAGAGTCTCTCGCACGCTTCTGAATAGGGCTCAAGGGTCTCGCGCCAAAGCGGCCCTGAGCCGATCAGAGGTAGAACGATCATCATAAATGAAACGACGATGAATGCGGGGCTTAATCTGTGAAAGTTTAAATTCATCAACATACATCATTACCTACAATACTGATAGTATTGCCACAAAGTTATAAGACGAAGCATAGCTAGTACATGTACCGTTTTTCATTTCAATCCAATTTCAACCTTGCAACTGTGAGTACTTGTTTTTCTCCACAGTGACTTCATATTTCGGTTCTGAAGTTTTTTATCGGCGTAAACTTGATTTTTTGATTTAGAGCTACTTTACGATGAGCCCAGTTTGGAAATTGTCCATAATATTAACACGCAATAAACCGTTACGACGATCAGCCGACATACCATGTTAGAGTTTGTATAGATAGGCATAACTAAGTAAAGTATTCTGCTTCTTACTTCATTTTTAACAGCATATGGGCTGCTCTAAAATTGTTGTAGGGTTCCCGTCCTCGTTAGGTGGCCATTAGGGGGTTATCGATATCGAGACAAAGCGGCAGTTGACGGCAAGGGGAAGTAACAACAACAAGTTTTTTTAGGCTTCTATTAGGCTTTGTCAAATATTCGTAACGTACTTTAACCCCCAAAGAAGATAGTTTTGCATAGGAACATTAATAAGTTTCAGGTCGCAGTAGTAGTAGTAGCAATAAAAACGTGGTGTTCCGGTAGTACTTTGCTTTCTGGGACAATATTCATTTAGATTATATTAAGGAGTTATTATGCGGCCCAGTGGCAAACGTTTGTTGAATGGGAGCAGCAACTTAGGTTACAATGGCGTCGACTGATTGGTGCAGTTGCAGAATTAAAATGAGACAGAACGGTCGAGAGTCAATAATGATGATTAATGGTACTGCGTTACATCGATACCTCAGCACTTCACTGGTTAAGTATCGAACAACTGTATGAAGATAATTCTACAGAGGCAACCGATTTATAGTGACGCGAAAACCACTGGAATTTTTGTTGGCAAATCTTCTTCGTGTTTTTTTTAATGGCGATGAAGTACTGCCATAATGTTAAAAAATCAGTGCGGACAGCCAGACAGCTATGTACATATTTGTTGCGGTTGCGGCAGTCCAATTCACTATGAGGTTACGGCAAGAAAATATAGAAAGGAAAAGCTTGTGAAAATGCAGCTAAGCTTTCGAAGACCGTCTCTACCTGAAAAAAATATTAGCATAAGGAAACGACACATTTTTGCACCAAATCGACTAAGTAGTCAAAAATTGGACACGTATGCGTGCACATACGTGCTATCAGATATATATGATGGGACGAAGGAAGAGTGTTTGAAAAACGTCGATTTGAAAAGATCCAAGAATTACCATTAGTGAAAAAACGTGCGCATCTCAGACGAGGTCATGGAACGATGAGTTTCTCGCAGTCTCGTCTCAGGCAATAAACAAATTACGAATAAAGGTAACTTGCATCTTTAGACGCCACTAGTTCAAGCTTCGTTCGATAGTAAATCAAGTTGTTATTTGTGGGATCGATTTACGCCCCATTGTCAATTGCCTTTACCTTCTGTCTCTCAAACTGTGCGGGCCTCATAAACATCACATGCGTATGTATTATTGCATCATGCTTATTCCTTAACAGAAACAACAGAGCCACACCGTAAAATTGATTCACCGGCGGTAGGGCGCATCCCACATAATGTGATAATTGAACTTCCCTTTAGAAGAGAAGCTCGATGTTCTTCGATTCTGTGATGATCAGCACGCCATCATGCTGATTACAGCAGATAGTCGTAAATATTTCTAGATAGACTAGTGCTTACCTGCACCATCGTCGTAGAATATGTCTAAAGTAACTGAACTTGCCCTGGCGATCATCCAATCGTCGGAGATAGTTGTACGTCAGCAGAAAGCCCCTGAAAAAGCACCGGAATAGGATAATAACTGTCAAATACTTGCAGTTTGTGCTGTCCAAAAGCATCCCTTGCTGTGTACTTTTAGTAAATAGCAGTGTTAACGATCGACTGTGTTCGAAAAAACAAAAAGATTGATCTTGGCACGAGTCCGTCATAGAACGTGTCTGCTGTCTCAACTTTTCGCGTGTGGATTTTTCTCGGCACAGAAGCTCATCGTTTTGCACTCATAGTATCGAGCTATAAGCAGATTCTGACTGCTCATGTAATTTTAAGGCAAAAAAGAAAATGCAATTTACTACGGAAACAAGCTCAATAAAATAGTAAAACCCTCTAAAGATATTCGTAGTAATTCTATCTATGATTTACGCATAGCCTTTCACCGCCATTTTAGAAGTGCTTTTTGGAGATATCCTTTTACAGCGAAGTGTTTTCGATGAAAGGTATCAACATTGTTCAAAAACATCACATCCCAGAAGTAGCCAGTAGCTCCATGTGGATGTGTTTCAAATTTAAATTTAGTCCAGAGATCTTGAATTGCTGGTAAAAAGCTATCTTCTTTCCTTGCCAGCATTCGAGTAGCGTCTTGATAACAATGAGCCGAAGAGGAAGAAGAACAAGAATCAAGAGAATAATGGCAACCGAAATCGATGAGCTCGAGCTTTATGGTTTCCAACGTTTTTATCAGTAACTCTGTTCTGTATCTATAATACCTACATAAATTTCTTTTATTCTAGCCTATTTGGCGTTGTTTGTTTGCGCATGAACGTATTTTACGGTGCTTCCATCTTAGCTCGCTGCCCGAGCTTCGAAAAAATTACTCGTTTCAGATGCATTACGTAAATCAATTCCATATGTCGTCTATGAACGTTCTGTGGATTAAGTTTGTAATTTTTTCTTGTATCTCCTCGTGTGTGTCTTCTAGATAGCGAAACTATTGAAAATATCATAGAAAATCAGAGCGTTTATTTTCTATTCGCCCTTAGCAAGGGGACATTTGCCATCTACTACCTTATTATGGTTGCTTACTTAATCGGTGTCTTGTCAGAAAACTGCGGCTGCTACGTGTAGGTATATACATATATATACATATATATATATATATATATATATACATATATATATATATATAATATATATATATATATATATATACATATATATACATATACATATACATATATGTGGTCGGGTCCGTTTTGCCTGCAGGAAAGATACTGCGAAACACGACGTTCGATCATTTTCTGTTGAGTCACCATCTCTGCATACAGAAGACCCATAGTAACACTTATCGAGCTACAGTTCATACGATAACGACGGATATGGAGAATATGCTGCAACTCACTGAACGCAAGACCTCCAGACTGTTGCCGACAGCGTATAGAAACAAATACTAATGTATGCAAATGAACTATAAACACGGAACGCAAGTTCAACGTAGGATGACATTGTCCAATCGTTATATAAAACTTCCGGTCAGAAATGAGCTCTTTATTTCAAGATCATTTTCGTAGAGCTAGCGAGAAATGCTGGCGCAAATCGAAACAAATATGTAGTAATCATAAAGTGATTCAAACATGCCGATCAACAATGTACTGATTGGCGCTATTTTAGAGATAAAGATTCTACACGCCCCCTAGACTAGGTCACATGCTGCTATACCTGTCTTTCAGATCACTTCTTAGTTTGATAGAATTTGAATCAGTACGAAAATGGTGTTTACCATAGTCGAAAAAAATACCTTATAGGAACCCTTACCTAGGAAAATAGGAAAAATGTTTTCCACTTTTAGGTGAGAGTAGCTGACAACGACGCCAGTCTACAATGCTTTCAATACAGCCAAGTAATCGCCAATGATCTTACGTTGTCCGGAAACGAAAGATTGCGAACGAGAATCATGCGGGACAGCGGGATTTGTTACCCATTTTTAAACCTAGCCCTAAACAATTTCCTATTCGATGCAATGGCTCCCGGCAAATAAAGATTTCTAGAACTTTAAAGCAATTAATTTCTTAAATGTTCAATGGCGTGATACGGAAGACAGCTCAACGGTTTTTTAATCGAGAAGTTGATCTTGCGCCGGCAAAGCAGGAGGGAGCCGTTTGTCCGACAAACTGTCATTACATATTTATAGATTGTATTTTAAATGTTTACTTCGATACAGTCTTTATGTATAAATGCGCCAGTTTACTTTGAAAACGAATGCTCAGAGATCTGGTCAAAGATGGCGGAGATAAATTTAATCGCTCCCTTGTTAGTACGGAGCATTTTCATTTATTTTACTAATCCTCTAGATTCTGCTTGTTTTTATGCGTCTATTTTGCCCCTACGAAATTGACGTCGAACGCTGATAAAAGTAAATCCTAGCTAGAAGTTTCCAATACGTATCCATCTCCATCTGAGCAGGTACAGATCTATTTAAAGCTAGCCTTTAAGCAATTGTGAAACTGTATTTATTATTATTAAATCTTTGTTTGTCTCCTGTTGGATTGAAAAACAAAAGGTCATGAAAATTGCACAATACAAATCTGAAGCTACCCTTTTACTCTGGGTGCCCAGGAAAGCTTCAAAGCTTCTTGACACATACTACCCGACAGGTGTAAAAATAGATAAAGTAGAGAAAATCGAGAAAACCTCGACTGAGCAATAGAACAAAGGTCATTATTAAGCTTAGGTCCTGATGAATAAAACGAAGGCCTTATAGCAGCGATAAAGGACGTTTTCTTCAAACAAAAAAAGATTAACTATTTCATCATTAGGTTTAGGGAGTTAGCTCGGTGTTTAAAGCCCCTGAATCCCTCTTCTGTGTACGAATTATCGGAGTAAACATCTATAAATTCTACCAAACAAAGTGACACAAACGATTATAAGTCTCTGGCGATGCTTCTCGGTTAATGGCTATTGAACAAAACCAGACCTTCGACGGCTATTTAAATTCCAGCTTCATATACCTGTCTACCACTGAGCATTTTGAATCGTGATCGATCGACGAGAGTCGTAGATCCCAAAATGGCGCTATTTACAGAAAAAAATATTCCTGTAATTAATTGTCTCGGCCCGCTACACGACGACACAATATTATATTAATATTAAAAGCCTGATATTTGTGTTCCTCCCGAGAGTATCCACAGCAGATGAGATGAGATGTTTGTCCACATCGTTTTGAACGTCGGTTAGCCGAAGTCGTAAACTTGACAGGTTGTTAGGTCTATGTACCTTCCGTGCATTCTTAATTCGTCTTCTCCTACATTTCTCGCCTCGGCAGACGCATTACAGCTGTTGTTGAACGTTCTACGAAAGGGATTCGTACCTTAAACTTAGGTAGCGAGACAATAACTCTGACCTCAGAAAATGTTCTGCCGTGAATATTGGATTGGGCAAATCTACGGGCGTCAATTCTCTGCCCTTTAAATTCATTGTTTAAAGGTTCCTAAGAGCGTTGAAAAAGGGCATTAGTCATATCTTTATTTTGGCATCTCTAAAGCATTATATTCTGTATTGAAGAGTATTTTCCACTACGTATGTCAGAGCATAACGCAGTCGTTCTACTAAGTAGAAATAGTTTATGAGTGGCTTTTCACGTTGGTTATGATGTACCGACAGGCACTGGAACTCAAGCAAAAAACAATTTTATAGCGTAGATAATTCTATGGCGATTAGCTTGAAATTGTTTATACAACGTACCGTAGAGCTACAGTTTCTGTCGAGAGTCATGCAGACCAATTTTCTATGCCAATATAATTGATATTTCGTATAATTAATTACAGCCTGTAATTCTGCGTCTCGACGTGGTAAAATCTAACATTGGGCATATTTATCGCGAATCAATACCGAACCACGCCGTTGCACACTCTAGAAAGGCGGCAAGATCCTGGACCATAGTATGTTGTCGTTCCCCGTTGTTGTATTTATTGTAACTAGTTATTTATGTTGTACTGGAGTTTGTCAAGCAAAAAGAAAAAACAGACGTACGTAAAGCTAGGGTGCTTGAATTCTTAACTTTTTGCTAAGTTTCAGCTGCAAAAACGAACCTTGGTCTCGTAGTGGCCCTGAGCAGCTGCTGGGGAGTTGAGTTACTGCTGTATCATTCGTGTTCAACTCTATTTAGAGCGTCAACCACTGATTATCACCAAAAAACTTCAGACGATGCAACCGATAGACACTTCACTAAATTCTATCTTTATTTCTGTCGGTTAACTATTTTCTTCCGATCAGCCTACAGGGAAGCTTGCTGAACTTCATCGTTGGAATCGTTGATCCGAAACAGATGCCGACTTGCAGTCGACTGTGTAGCAAAATATCAACAGATAGAAAAAGGTCGAGCCCCATCTCAATCGATTTCCTCTACCGATTTCGATAATATTATCTTTCGAAAAGAGTGAGTATGTGGACCTAACGAAAACCTTTTTACGTGTAGAAACTTTAAGTTGATGAAAACGAGGACTGAAGTCTATCATTCTGCCGTCATCCTACTTCGCGAAAAAAAGCTGCCGATAACAACACGCGTTCCTTTAATGTGTGAAATTTCTCTTCGAAATAAAACCGAGTGCTACTTACGAGATCGTTACGAAGGTTTCGACAGCCGGAAACATGTTGAGCACCATTTGGAACGGAACACTTCGCGCGAGCTTAAATGCTTCGAAGAGACCGCCTGAAAGAGTTGGCATGCAAATTTGCTTTGTTTGCTGTGTGCGCGAAGCTTCCTTGTTTGTCCTCATAGATTGATTTCCACTCGATAAACATCAGCAGTAGCGTAATAGTAGATTTTTTCAGTAATTACAGTCTACGCGGATATGGAAGTTTTTACCGCAAAGACGAATCGTTCTTCTATAAAACTACATGAAGCAAAAGAATCACTCAACAGCTTTATGAACCATAGTTCCTTTGCAGATGGATTGAGGCATAAGCATAGTTTCTTACTATTGAGTCACAGATTATGGAATACATTTTAACAAAAGAGCAAAGGAAAGGTTTCTGGCGTTTTAGTTCGTTCAGCACCTGCTGTTGTCGTTTTCAAGTGTATGTTAATTTGTACATAATTCTGCTGTGACACCCATATTTGTACAGATAGATGGTGGTGCTAGATAGAAAATGAGCGATAGGTCATCGATAACGCCTGTGGCCAACATACGATTGTGACAAAGATTATGACTTCTGCTCCAAGACTAAGTTTGTAGTTTAGGCGTTATGAGCAAATGCCTCCGCACTCACTTCCAAGGTTGAAGTTCTTATAGAAGTATATGTGGCCAAGAATAATCCACGCCATTGTTAGTACTCGAAGGCCGTGGATGCAACGCAACGTGTCACTGGCATGATCTGTTTCGGTGTTCATCATCTTACGAAAGTTGCTATACATAGAAAAACATTCCGAGATTCTCTCAATCGTACCTGAAAAGAGGCAGGGAAAACACCATGTTTATGTATTCGTATTTTTCTTATGGCTTTTACTCGTGAGATTTTGTTATGGCTCATTTTCGACCGAGTAGTCTAACTTACTCAACAATTTCGCAGTATGCCGTAAGGCGAGTTTAATTCACCAAAAAGATTATGGCTGATTAAACAATAAGGAGCCACTGCAGGTTTCATTTACTACGTAAAGCTTAATTTCGTAAAGCTTAGGTCGTCGTGTTAACGACGTGCACAAACAATGAAAATGTTCGTCACTTAATTATAAACTGTACTATGTTTACCACTAGCAATTTCTATTGAATAAGCTGTTTGCGTAACGTCTACTACGCACTCAAATGGGTGTATGTTTACGTTATGACCTCCTTATCTATAAATCGTACCGCTTTCCATATTACTGCTTTCGAACGGTGTTAAACAAGCAGACATACTATATTGTCTACTCAAGCACGACTGAAATTTATATTTGATAGTTCAAAAAAACCCGGTCGAGGGTTTACTGATTCAGTAGACAACAGCGCCATCTGTCGAATCATTTCAGCGGCAAAAGTTAGAATAACTGTTATAATAATTAAACAACTCGCGATCTATAAGCCTTCACTACACGCGCACACCGCATTTCTAAAAGAGATCTCCTTACGTCAGAATAACTAGGAATGTAGAAAATCGATATTTACTTTGCCTAGCGGGAGGTGGAATTTTTTCTCCTTTTGCTCTACGGAAGGAATGAACGAGCTTTGGCAGTACGTCAAGCGTCGTGCCAACGACAGACAGGATGAAGATTACGGCCAGAATTAAAAGGACGACAGTTTGTGTCGAAGATATTTGAATAGGATCGCTCGTTTCACACCATGGTACCGAGATGTCCAACGCCATTACGGTGGCCACTGCAAAGGAAAACAATGTCAAATAATCAGTGAGACAGCCGCGTGGGCTTTGTTAAAAAGAAACCAACTAACTACCTGAATTTATACTCAGCAAGTGCGTCTAGGTAGTGAGTGGATAAGACATACTGTCGGCTGGGTTTGGCATGGAGGATTTATTTAAACATACAATAGAATGGTACCCGGCATTCCCAAATCACAGACTACTGCAATTCCAGTAATACTCACCTTCAGATAGGACATGTACTGGACTTCTACGAACAAACGCTAGTTAGAAAATCTTCTATTGCTTCTCCATATCGATTTGAAAAGGATACCTTGAAGTTCAAGACATATGTGCCGTAAAACCGAATGGTACCATCTTTTTAAGATAACTATAATATTGGCTAACTTCTTATTATCTTAAGTAAATATCGCCATCTGGTGAAATATCTGTAGCTTGATGTTGCTCTGGCTTCACCTTCTTAGGCTCTATCCAGATATTAAATTCCATGGGAAATATACCTAACCATTTCAACAAAAATAGGTCATCTGACTAATTTACCTATTACACTAAGTTGATTGTCATTGCGTTCTAGGTGTTTTACCTGAGCCCCACCCTGATCTCGACCCGCTCAGCGTATCTTATCGTACTTACTCGGTTGTGACTACTTTGTTTATATTCTGTTGTCCACATTAGCATACCACGGGCCTTTTCTGCTTGTCCAGTGTTTATTGATGGCATTCGCCAACGACAAAATTGCCACGGGAGGCCTTCTAGAACGTTTTTATCAAATTTCAAGTTATGGATAATCAGCTATTCTACTTCAAGGTAGTAAGAAGAAGCAGTTCTTTTGTCTCTACTTCGTTTTGTAATGTCGATCATTAACTCTTCTCCACTGTGTACTAGACAATTTCATATACCATCCACTTCTACTACGTTTTTATCAACAGCATATGCAGATAGCTAATTATTAGAACACAGATAGAATAGTTAGAACAATTATCCTTTATCGAACGTTTTCCTAGCTAGGATCGTAACACGACATGTCTGAGGAAATTACTTCTTGAACGTCTATTAAAGCAATTATCGCTCCCATTTAATGAATTTCATGTGCATAGGAACAGATACGTTCTATTGCGCAGCTACACACCGACAAAAAACTGTTAGCTAAACAGAGGCTTCCGCCGTAGATTGTGTTAGCCCAGACGTCTATGCTTTTTAGCCGATCGTTTCGATTGTGTCATTTAATTTGTTCTTCAGGTTTAAGGGCATGGTGTCATTTTCCTAGCCGTCCCATCTAGAGGCTTTAACACAGATGGCGTATATTTCAACAATCACGGCCTAAAGTACCGTGTGCGCTAAAGGTAATGAGACCCGTCTATAATCTCTCGATTAATTAGCCACGCTACGTACTTCGAACCGCGTATTAATTGTTGCGGAAACCCGAAAACAGCATCGCGTTCCACTGCTTGTACCTCGGAGTTTATTCTGCCAGTCCTCTTCGTTACCCCATCGCAAGGACCTCATCTATGCCTCATGGGACTTGACGTGCAACAAGGCTGCAACCAGAGCGCCAGTCTGGCCAGCGACTACCCATCGTCATTATTGTTTTTGGCACGAATCTACTTAGAGGTATTAACTGACGCCATCTCTTTAAGCGGTTCAGTTGGGTTGGGCGTGTCCTGTTCTGTTTACTAGTTAGCCGGCAACCACGAAATCCGAAAGCAGCTCTCTCAAATGGCATACTGATGACCAGTCTCGCCTAAACGATGAGCTCATTCCTTACACATTCTGTACTTCGAAATCGATCGCAGTACCTAAACCCATCCTACCTCCTGAGGTGACTTTATCGATTTCATGCTTATTTACGAGTCTGGTCCTACCGGCCGCGAACTATTTATTGTTTAATAATGATTCGCTGTGACAGACTCAGTTGCCGGGGTAGCGTCGTGGCGCCAAAGTTCTTGAGACGTTTGCCCGTTGCTCGTAGTATAGATTGAAAAGTGATATCCTAACTGACGCGGGAAACAACCGTTTTGTCTGCTGTTCTATGTCAAATTCTAATGCAGGCAATTTAGATGAAGGACATTTTCGTGGTCCTCCACCCAGCTTAGGAAATCACTATCTGCATTTTTTTCTCGATGACGATTTTCTCGCATAAATTGCAATGACATAACAATAGAAGGGATGAAACGATCTATGTTTACTTGGCGCAATCGAAACATTATTCAAGCGTCGAATTAGCAAGCTAGAGTTAACTGGGCGGCTGTTCTTCACAGAATCATAATAATACATTGACTTAGCATTTTTTCTCAGGTCTTTTTTTTTTTTTTTTTTTTTGTTTCAAAGCGAAAATTGTACGATAGTTACACGGCGTTCCTAAGCTATATTTTTTCAGCAGCTTAGTAATTTATGCATCACAGTTTAGCCTCGTTTACTATTCCCAGCGATATTGTATCCGCATTCGAACTGATATGAATGAGAAAATGTTACAAGATAAAGATAGGACTATTGCACTGGTCGCTTAAACTATCGTACACGTGTAGCTAGGCGCATCCGTATAAGCGTTTTGCTTTTGTGTTGTTACACTTCTCCGATCTCCATCGTTATTACTACCTTTGTCAATGGACGAAATCGTTTATTCAGCCCGAACGAGCGGCAATATTTGGGTTAAATCAGACATTTCTACGCCGAAATAGAAGAAACAAGAAGTTTAGAACGAATTAGAGAAAAGGACTTTCGTTGCTAAAGTGAATGATGGTCGATTTCGCGTTTCATTATCGTAACATAATTACCATCTTTATCTACAGGAACACGTAGACGTCGTTCTAATGATCATTCAGAAACAGACCGGATGGGTTACGAATGCTTAGGGTCGCCTTGCGTATGTCGAAAACAACTGGCCGACGACGCCTTGATACTTGGCCCGTAAATTTTTTGCGTTTCCCGTACAGATGTCGAAACGTGAATGCAACAGTAACGAGTGTGCTACAATTCTACTATTATCACTCTGATTATGCAGCTAGATTTAAGGGATCTTCTACTTTATGGTTTTCCCCTATAATAGACATAATTGTAAATGTGCTGGCCTACTCAGTTGCCAAAATAGGACGCGCAAACTCTTGCCGACCGTCCAACGCTAGGTGACATATCTCTCGGACAGAACTTGGACCGTCCAATTGTGCTTTACACTAATAATCATTCTATGTAAAAAGCGCAAAACACTCGTCTATGAGAAATCCGTAATTGATTGAAGAAGGTTTTCTATCCATACGAATAGGCGCGCACTGCAATAGCAGCAATCAGCGGTACGGCAATGACGCTGAGTCACTAACCATGGCTACTGGCGACACTTTTTCCAAGCTACAAACCATTGCAGAAAAATGGTTTTCCACTACGACGAGTACAGATGCAAATAACGATCCTGAATATGTAACTACATGCGCGTGAGGGTGGCATGGAACAGTTTTAAGTTCCTACCAAGGATAAGCCTCAAGGACCATCGCTAGATTAGCTTTTTCGATACTTTATAAATTGATAATGAGTGACAGTTGAAGAGATTAGACAGAGAGGCCGATTTAGCCAGCGACAGAGGGGCATAGAACTAAGCGCAAATTACTCTGGCAGCCCGTAATATAAAATTTCAATTCTCTGTTATGTTGCGCGGAACGCTTATCAGCTTGTTTTATGTTATGTTACGTAAAGCCTAGCGCTCGACTGTGATTTTTTTCATAACATCAAGTAAAGCGAGATCAAATAGCAAAGGATGACCCATAAAGTGGGCATTTGACAACGGTACGAGTAAATGACATGTTATTCTCGGGCGCAAACGAGGCGATGACAGACGCTGAAAAGGTTTTCAAAGCTACAAGCAGAACTATTTCTTCCTGCAGCTCTTCGTGCCCAGCCAAAAAAAAAAAAAAAAAAAGCCGCCATAACGCTATGGGTTTACATCTTGACTTGGCTTACTTGAATATTTTTCAAACTATATATTTTTGAAGCGTTTACGCTTGCTATTCGTTGATTGTCTGACCGTCAAATCTACACATCGTTTATAGGTAATAACGTTAAACCAGACACATTTACATTTGTTGGATAAATTTCTGAATTCAGTTATAGGAACCAACCAAAAAAAGCCATTTTATTTGAAAACTACACATCCTAATGGGTCCTAAATAAACAGGCGTGTATGTTTTTTGGAAACAGCCTAATTTTACACTGTTAAAAAACTAAAATGACTTGAAAATACTGTAGTAGTATAAACACTTTTATACATACCCTGTCTAACAATAACGTTCATGTCGCTGAGTGTGCACGTATGGGGTACGCAGGCTCCGATCCGAAAATGGGCAAAGTAGAAATACGCCACATTAATATCCTTCCCTAAGAGGTTCTGAAATGAATTATGGAATATTCGCGCATAAATAGCTATAGACATTTGTTAAGTTTACATAAAGTGACCTTTAAAAAAAAGAGAAACGTAACCTAGTCTGAATGAAGCAAACAGAGGTGGTCAAATACCATCGTATTAACAGCGAAATAATGAGGTTTTCATCAACATAATTTCTTTAGAAAGATTGCCTTTTGCAGATGACTTTCGTTCAGAATACTTGATAATCTTTCTTTCAGGTACCCAATTAATTTGTTGCCTATGATGAACATTGTTTTACCGGAGCATTAATCGGAATGCATTGCATAGAAAACTAGAACAGGCACGATTTTTAGTATTTGCCCTTGTGAAGCGTAAATATATTTGAACAAACATTTTGTTTGTAAGACTAGGACCCCTCGGCCCCAGCAGTTCCTCAGTCGGGAACAATGTATGCAGCTAATATGTTATAGATGTAATAGTGTCCATCCTTACCAAAGGTTCGTTACGAGCGAAGGGTTATCGGGTCCTAACTTAGGACTATTGAACTGTCAATTCAAAATGTATTAACTCTTCCATTGCGACATTAATTGACAAAGCGTATACACGATCATCCATTCCGAGTGTACCAACCCTATACGTTTTGGATATGTTTTTGTTACAAACAATTCGTGAGTGCAAATCACATATTGTCCCCGTTGTGTCATGGAAGCGAGATGGAAAACTGGAATTAATAATGCCAAATTTCAATGTTTACAACGAAATCCTGCATAGAAAATTTAAAATGGCTGAGTCAGTGACTATTGTCCCATGCCGTAAGCATTCACGGCGACTTCACACAGAAGGAGTCATTAACGAAGTAGGTGAGGCCACGTTGGACAGTTCGCCAATTTGAAAATTTGTGGCTGTTATACGGTACTATCGGGATTGTACTATACGGACATATCGGTGTTCGGTCCTACATGCCTGGCAGCTGAAGCCTACAAACGAGGCACATATATGGTTTTTGCAATTGATACGTATAAGTAACCTTCCCGATATGGCTATTCGAAAATTATCGTGAATAATCGTTTTATGGAACCAGAGAGTGCAGACTCAGTGTAGGAGGCATAATTGAAACCTTTGAAAGTGAAACTTAAAAATTAGACTGGATGAGTTTTGCTTGAGCGGTATGTAGTTTAATCAAATCATATAGTTCTCCATTGCGGATTTGAAACGGTGCATTTTTTTTTTCAATGAAAAGTCTAGCAGACGCAAAATTTATTGCCCAGGACCTGTGCCATAACCTCCCTATTTATGCAACGCAACTTCACCGATTTTTTTTTTCTGTGAATATTTTTCTGATTTTTTCATCTAAAGTAAAGTCTGCCTTCCATAACTAGTGGGTTAAAAGAACGTATCCATCATAAAATTTCACCAGTTGCTTATGTAAAATTACGTGACCGTAATAAGGTGTTAATCTGAGCGATTACTATTTCGTTTGTAATACACTTTGAAGAATGTGTATATCGCGTGAATATGTAGCGTTCGTTAGAACTAAATATTCATTTTCTCAGGGAAAGAAAATTTTTCCATGAGTCGTGATTTATAGGTAATAGAGTATAATATTTTGAATTAAAAAAGCATTCATATTCAATGGGGACTTCGTACGTGCTTTCGGCAACATATGTAGGGCCATCTAGGTTCATGTTTGTATTTATTGGTTGAAGTCCTGTGTTTTACCCTATGTCCCCCTCCACGACCTTTCATCCAGGTTGCCGAAAAAATCCTATATTTGGCGTAGCGCTAAACCGAGGTGTTAGTAAATCGATTCGCTTGAATGTGGTTCCTAACGTTGTGTGATTCGATACAAAAAATCTCCGATTGATTTATAGAGCATTTGATTGGGAGCATAAATGCTAATAAATGTTTTATGGAATTGATACGGTTACATTGTTATGGAGACCATCAAAAGTATATACAGTTAGAGAGTATCTAGTATGCATAGATAACGTAGATTTTTTTTTAACTAAATGGTTTTACCGGGCGCTTTAAAATGGCGTCCTTTTTTTTGGCTAGAAATTTTTTTATTAGTACCCTAATCGCTAGCCAGTGGCGGCGCTATGATGTAGTGACGGAGTTATCGAGAAATATCATCTTGGGCTGTTTCGAATTGCTTGTATCTATTTTATTCAACCGTAGTAGTGGTATAGCAATGCAGACGTGCTTATTCGGATACGGAGCACGCTTAAAGTATTGGAGAACCGTTAAGTAGACATTACGTATATATATATATAATGTTAAAACCGCTTAGATGGTGTCTCCGCGCCGTTAGACTATTTATGTATTGACTGCTCAAGTATCGATTAGTTTTTCAGAGAACTAACTCACCTTTAGCAACGGGACCCTGTCGGTGTAGTTCCTGAGGTAAGTCCTCGGGTCGTATTTGGCAGGTCTTTCAAAATATAGATGCGGTTTCATATTAATGGCGCAATATTTGCCCCGGAAGAAGCTAAAATTATTCACAAGTCGTATAAGCGATTAATCTTCAGATCACTTTATCTGCTTTAGAAAAGACATCGTAGAAATATTAAAGCCCGTCTTCACTGGAACATAGCTCCCTTCATGCACTGTACTTCTTACCCCCCCCCCCCCCCCCGCCGCCGTTCTGTGTTTAGCTGGTCGCGTGGTTTCCTTAAAATGTGACCTTCCCGAAATGGAAAAAAAAAAGATTTTATAGAATTATGGCTATCATATTTGATCAGATGTCGAAATAAGCGCGGTGCCGTACAGAAAATCAACTTTCATTCAGCGTTAGATTCCCTGTCTTCCTGTATATAGACTAGCTATTATCTGTGAATAGAGAAAATCATTGTGTAATCGCAACTAAAATACCTGACCGTGCGATTAGTACGAATGGAAAACATTGAATGACGCGAAGCACTAAGCAGCGTATTTACCGGAGCTGATTCCGGATGTAAGTGAGCTCGTCCTACGTAGCAACCATTACTTCATCCTAAACAAACACAGCAAGTATCAAGATTGCAGCGTACTGTAAAAAGTACTCATTGGGCTCATATAAAGCTGAACTAACCCGAGTTTTAATTATGCTGTTACTGATGACGCCACAGTTTATGTTTATTAGTTCAGTTTTCAATGCACGATCGGAGGTAACCGTAATTTTTTTTTGCTATAGAGCGATTATAGCTTTATGCCTACGAGCTTTCTACTCAAGATTTTCGACAACTAAAAGTACGCCTGCTACAAAATCATGCACAAAAATAGAGACGGCGTTGTACAACATCTAAAAACAAGATGCAAGTTTACTGAATTTGCGTATTAAATATGTACAGGCACACAAAAGTCTGCTTCAGCTTGTTTAAATAAGAGAAGATCCAGCACACATTGTTCTTGTTTATGCATACGTTAACAATCGCATAGTAAAAGTGCACCGGAGTAGTCTTATCCAGCAACAACTGTGTATATTAGATTCTAGTACAGTATAAAGGCTGATAATAAATAAATTTATCAAGTCAACCGACTGGGCGGACAAATTATCACGAGGGGAACTTTCGGTTTTTGATCGATGACGATGCAGCAGCGGTCTCGAGTCAATATTGAAGTATAATTATGGAAATATGTCCTAAGAATGCTTTGCCATTGGAAAGCTTAAAATTTCCATTAATCGCAAGGGTATATCGAAATCGGTGACGGCAGAGAAGTTGTTAAATCCTACGTCCGAAACAGCGTTCGAGGTTGCGCTAGACAGCTTTGCCGTGCTGTCTAAAACCTAGCCCACGTCACAATTTCAACCGGTTGGCGAACAAACGCTAGTGACGCCATTTTTTCTATTATATGCTTCTAGCTACTATTGAGGTACAGTGACTATATTGTAAAGAAGAATCATACGCCGCTCCATGATAATTGGAAATACAGTTTAGAAAGTTTGTGTCCAACTCCAATATGCGCGAAGCAGAGAACACGCGAAATATATGAACGCTGGTTGTTATAGTACGATCCAAGGTTGAAGTTTTGGCGTCAACGATGTAAATCTTTAAGGAATATACTGTAATTAAGCACTCTTCTTCTTTACTAAGCTAATCCGCATTCGAGGGCAGTTAGAAGATGGGCACACGCTCAATGATTATAACACCTTGAACTTCGTGTGCTAGGCAGAATCTAGATGGTCACTAAAATCCTGACTGGAAAATACCGTTAAGAACAAAAGGTGTATCCCGCCTGACCAGCAGTGCCTCATGTTCATTTGAAGATGATCGCCTGCTATCCGATTACAACGTCGAAAAGGAAAGTGTTTTCCATCTTGTGCTTTGTCTCCGTGGCGGTAGGTAAATGCTCGTGCTGACGGGTAGAACCATCGTTCTGAAGGTCGAATTTTATAGTAGCATCGAAAACGTCAACGCGGAAATGCATCCGACTAGTAGCGGTTGATCTTCGCGGGCAAATACTTCAAACACAGTCGACTACTGCGCAACTACAATATCATTTCATTCTTCGTGTTTGAGATGGTATGCTGATTTTCGTCAGAACTTTGACCAAAAAAGCCGTAACGCTTAAGCTGAGCTCTCGGACACGATCGGGAGCGAAAGTTCGCAATAAGAAAAGCCTCCTCTCTGATCAGCATCGTCGGATTTTCGCTGAATTTCGAAACAACACCAAACGTACCCCGGCGGGTCACAGTGTCCAGAAAGAGTCAACCCTGTGTTTGGTGCTGTGCCTTCGTGGAAGCTGATTTACAGTCTAATTTAATGTATAGGATATGAGAGCTCAGCAGCAACTTCAGTAGAGGACAAATTTTACAAAGAGATTACGGCCCTGCCTTAAAAGTTGGATCAGATCAAATTGGCGGTATTCGGTGACATACAATTTTCTCACCATCATATTGTGACAAATTAACTGCTGCGTCATAAAGAAAGCAATCTGCTTCATTTAGCATTGTACGCAGGTATTGCATAGGTCACTTTGAGGCTGAACGAACCAAAATACCGTTTCGCCCCTAACTATATATGCAAAGTTCCAAAGCAAATTTGATATAGAGTTTTAGACTTTATTCATATTTGGTAGTATACGTTTAAATGAGCAGAGTAAGAAGCGCATGTATCCGCTATCGAAAAGCGAAAATGCTACGACCAATCACGACCTTCACAAATATTCTTCGGCGGTTCCATTATCGACTTGTGTGCCTATGAGTAGCGAAGATAAAGTATATTTGATTAAATTTTTTTATTAAAAGCTATTTTGCGTTAGACAACAGGAGTGGCCCCCCGGGACTACCTTCTATTTTAACTTGCGTTCTATTTTTAGGAGATATAGCTATTTAGGCTTAGAATGCCTGCATTTGGAATCCGATCTTTCTAATGAGTAATACATGACAGAGCTGGTCCAACTGAAGACTGTCCTAAAACGACCATTATTATTCTAAACCACTTCTGATGTACAGCTCTTATCTTATTAAATCAGTAATCAATTTGGCGTAATACAAATCAGAACCCGGGTTGAATGACAAAGCTGAAGTTTTGACAATGCTCAAGTAACTCCAATTCAAATTTATAAAAAAAAGATGTCTCGACGCACTTCATTTAACGCATTACGTTTAACATCATTACGGTTACTGGTCAACGTAAAAACGCTGATAGCTTTTTCCTTAACAATAATATTGTAACCCTAATGTTACCGTACTAAGCTGCGTAGAAAAAAAACTATATTATAATTACTAGAGCGTACTTACGTATCGACTTTTCCATTGTATTTCTTCTCTTGGGCGATGACCGATTTACACTCATTCATGTTCCCCAGTGAGGATAAAACTCCGTATAAAACACCGTGAGGTACTTTGCCCCAGGAATCCAACACTGTAACAATAGGAGCAACCTTTTTAAAACGTGTAACAGCACTTCCGAACTAACTAGAGTAACGGTTATTATTATGATTAATTAAAAATAATTATTTTTTGCCTTTTTGGAGGTTCGGTGTCACATGCAAACAGGCGCTGGTTTATCTAGTAGCCTGACAGCAAGCGTAGGCCATCTGTAGCGACGGACAATGTTGAAATGGTGGCTTTCGTTTTTCATAGCCTAATAAATAATACAAACTAAATTGAATAAGAAAAGCATTTACCTCTCAGGCTATTATAAATGTATATAATATATATATATATATATATATATAATAAATATAAAACCGCTCAAAATACTGGCCTTCTTATATTCGATAAGCACAACAGAGATCCTCAGTTCGATAAGAAAAGACAAACACTAGATTCGCTCACAAGTACCGCGCCGAATTTATAATGCTTTCCATGAGACAACTATCATTCAGCAGTGTCATGCTCAGTGTTGATAAAAAAAAAAAACAACTCTTGCACTGCGGAACATTTATTACTTCTGCTGACCTTTGCGACACTTTTCCAACGCCACCTGCTCCATCTCTAGTTTCGATATGCCCACTTAGGCCATAGTGGATTTCTACATTGTCTAGATAACCTAATGCTTCTCCGTTCAGTATCTCAGCAAAAAAGGAACACGTGATAATTAGACCAAACCAGATCAGAACTACATAATGCGCGAAGCCAAACAAAATTCAGTATTTTTTCTTTTTTATGACACAAAATATATAATACGTCTAGCCGTCAAATCGCGCCAGATGCGTAGCGTGTCCTTTTAAATAAGAGCAAGCATTGCAAGGTTGCTTGGAAAGCGGTATCGACGACGTCTCGCAACCATTTTTTACCGAATATGCGCCTTGTGTCCTCGACTAGAGTACGTTGAAGAGGAGGCAAATCTAATCCTACGAACTGAGTGAGCGAGCGAGCAGATTCTGCTGGACCCAGACTGTTTCGTCTGATAGACCAATGATGCTTTTGATCTTTTCTGATGAGAAATCTTTATTTGAACTTGAAGCTGTCGATATCGGACGGATGATTCGTGATTACGTGTGGAGCTTAGTGCATTTCACGACAGGGTGCACCCATTTCATGCTCCCTATCTAATAAGTGTCTGATAAACGTAAGAGTATACCGTATCGGCGGTTTGTATCAGCGGTTCAAAAATCTTATGGTTCCATCTTCTTCTGAACACCGCTCGAATAAATTCAATGCCATGATATATATGAAATCAAACACAAAATCGTTTCTGTACAACATCGACTCTGAGCAGTTTCAGAACTTCGTTAGAAACCGGACACAAGAAAATGGCTATACGATCTTTATCTTATGTGAATATATTGAACATTGCGATTTAAGCTCATTTGTCATTCTTTTATTTCTACGTAGTATCTGTATATTCATTACGACATGTTTGCGGGCAAACGTTCATTTCATGCACTTTCAATGGAACCGCTAACGAAGTTACGGATAATCTGATCCATTGACCGTCACTTTCTTCTACTTCTGTAAAACCAGCCTAGGCGCCCTATTGGAAAGCTGCCAATACTAATAAATACCGAAAAGGTCAATCAACGAGGAACACTGAATATGAACATTCGTTCGCGAGCACTTCGAACACAAAACAATTTATTTTATCTGTAAAACCAGGACCAGGAAATTAATCTGACTTGACAATTAAAGAGCGCGATTCTCATCACTGCCAGCTACAGTCAGAGCATTTGGAAAAAGTATTTCTAACTTAATTACCGACAATTGCATGAGTGAAGCGCAGCTTAGAGATCAGTTCATTAGAAACCTACTAGGACGCTGAACAGTTTTTTTTTTTTTTCGGAAATTATATCGCGCAACTTTTACACTCGATAGTGCTACAAATTATCAGGCAGGTTCATAAATTGCAATGAAGCTAATCATCAACGGTAGCATTCGTAGGCTAGATCTTCTAGCCATACACTTTTCTTGTAAAACGTGAGACTCCCTCTGAATAATAAGTGATAATTATCTGGATAATGAGTAATAATTATCCGGGGAGAGATGTTATATTATTCCGTAGCTATTCAAGGGCTAAGCTAATCTAATAAGACGACTAATATTATTACTAATTTAGATAAATGACAGCAGTCGAAAATTTCACAGTCTCTTTCCCTTTTCCGATAAGGCAATATCTTCGTGAGTGTAACTTTTTTTTTTAGATCAAAGGTAATGCTTGTTTTTCCTCTAAATGAACTTGACAAATCTACTACATTCAACTTATAGGATAGGGCTGCATCAAACTAAGGCTTTACTGTGAAGGTTTCTCTAAAAAAGGACCTTTCTAAAAAATTTGTGGCCAATTGGCTGTTGAAAAATCATTTTTTGGCAACGGTGTCGTAACTCTCGTGTTATTAAGTGTTTTTTTCCCTTTTAAAAATTCGTTTAGTCATTGCCATTGCCGCGTGTTTCTCGTTTACCATAAAACCATCTGCATACATAATGCCCTCGTTCAAACATACACACGCACAAACACACACCACGTCACGCGGGGCGGGGAAGGATGAATGGGGACTTGAGACAGGAAACTACATAGCCGGCTTGACAGAATTATTCAAAAGGGAAATAAACCAGGCTGGCTCGATCGATGGAATCTGGTGACATATGGAATAGTAAAGATCTGGGGTTACTGATCTGTAAAAGTAAAAAAAAATGCTGAGGTGCAGGGATAAAGCGTCCAAACGCATTCGAAGCAAGTGCTCGATGGCTTAATTCGCTCAAGGAAAGATATTTTGAGTTTCACCACACTCTGTTTATAATGTGTTGATCTCAGTGAAGTCAACAAGTACATACAACCGAAAAAAAAAACATTAATAACAAGTAGTTTTTACAATGAAAAATTAGTGAATCACTTCAACAATCGGTAATTAATGCAACACAACATGACGTTTGCCTCAAAATGAACGAAGAAACGTTTTACGCGTTAATTGAACGAAAGTGGCCAGGCGTATGTTTATTTTGATTCTGTCAATACGCCTTAAGGCGTTTCCTCGACAGCTGCCATATGCCTAACCTACGTTTCTGTCGGATATTTCGCCTATTATGTCGACCCGTAGAGACCCGTTTCTAGACGCCTACATTTCAGTATTCCGGTGTTTTTTGCTGTTTTATCTGCCATAACTTCTACACTTCTTAATTGGACGTTTAATTCAGCTTATTTAATATAAGGTGCACAATATAAGGAGCTTTCGTTTACGTTCATGAGGTGTTAAAAGTGGCTGTTTTAAGTATGTCTATCAGCGGAATCAATATGCCTCGTTGGCAAGATAATTCTTTACCAGTATAGGGGACAATCGAAACGTCAATTGATGAAGATATACAACAACAAAAGGTGCCAACTAGCTCTTATCGTTGGTAATTCACTAAGTCTTGAAGAAGAGTTTTGTTCGAAAAAATATCTCAACATATACGACATGATGGAGCTTAATCAGTTACGATTTACAACAACAATGGTAAAGGTGTGAAATATCTAGAGTATCTTCTTGGCGCTTGACATGGTCATCCACTAAAAGTGCGCCTGACACTATATTCAGATAGAAATCACATGGGTATATGAACATATTATTATACCGACACGTACAATGTACGGCTGTATGTAGTTGTGCTTGGCAATGTACAGGAAGAAATTGCCTGTCACCCTGTGGTCAACTAGACTATTATGTAAGAAGCTGCAATGAAAAAATACATAAAAATGAGCACTAGTTATTTATCCAGCCATGCTGTAGAAACAATGACTCTCGGACTGGCTTCTAGAGTTCTACAATCCCATTAAAATTCCTGGTTTTAGTGGGTTCGTACCCGGTGCAACCATTACAACTCTGCTTCTTATAAACTACAATACACAAACCGGCAGAACCTAGTAATAAGTCAATGCTCAGCTGAAGATGAACGTAATGCATGAGGTATTCTACAGGTGATAAACAGGTGTCACAGACTGGCCTAATGGTTCTAGAGTTGATGAATGCTAGGACACCGTTGTACGCTTCAAGTGTTAAAATATCATGGTTGATTTTGCTGGAATTGAATAAGATTGGCTTACACTCCTGAAGAAACCCAGTGCAGCCCAAATCTAATTAATTTGTTTCTAGCTTTCAGTTCACACTGTCACGCTCGAATTCGCCGACTGAGGTGGGCGCACAAAAACCATAAATGTGTTTGTTAATGAAGAAAAATGAATATGACAATAGTAACTCATCCTAATTACGTTAAATATTGAATCATTGAGCTTTAAACCGAACGCGCTTTCTGTCCTTGCGCCATGTACGTGTCGTGGAAACATGTCGTGTTCAAGATTGCGCAAATAAAGATTACAGAAATAATAGCCTTCGTTATTTCTCTATCCAGAAAGCGGACAGAGGCACACTAAGAATTTTGCATTTATGAAAAAAAATTTTAAATTACTTAGAAAAAACAGGCGATTTACAGAAGAAAAGATTTACAATTGCATAATATAAGGTACGCAGGGTTCTTTAGTTTCGTCAATAATGAAAAGGTCTACATGCTTTGGGATAATGTCAGCTGTTTTCCTTTTAATGTGCTGCTATAAACAGACTTGAATTTAAAATATTTACATGTACAGGTAATTCTGGCAATGAAATATTTTTTTCGAAATTCTCCTTGAACAATCAATGGACAATACCCATTTTTATAATATATACTCGTTGCATGTGCGAACTGTTGGCCGAGACAGATACCTCGTGAGAACTCCGACTTCCACGAACGACTCTTTACAGACACAGTATAGTAACTAAGGCCAGTGAAATTAAATCGTTTCTAACTTCATTTTATACTACTTATAGTGGAGAAATTGCTAACGGTCTATGCGGTTTATCAATCGACATAACCTCGTATCCATCAAAAGTATATTCGAGATGAACAATTGACATTTAGACACATATTTGTAATCGTAGTGCATTGAGCGATGGTAACTTGCCTCGAAGT